GTGTGATATGACTGAGTGATTACGGTCGCTGGCTTTAGTGAATTACTTGAAAATCATTTGGAGTTGTCAATCCTGTTGCAGGAACGTTGAGGTCTTGCATGTTCAGAATCTATCAAATTAGGTCATTGACCACATTTATTATATGCCTGAAACTATATTGCAAAGTGGGTCATCTCCGATTTTCCTCCATTAAAAAAAGGTTGAACATAAGTTGACATCTGATGTTTACAGTGTTTGTCTGACTGTATCTAAACAAAAATTTAAAGTATGAAGCCAAGGAGATTTGACATATGCTTAAAAAATATCTAGAGCTATTTATTTACCCTTGTCATGCTTAATATCTTATCTTGACTTGTCTGTGCATCTTTCAATATGGCCAAAACCATCATCATTTTGGGGGGAAATTTAAAGATATGTACAGACTGAATAGCATTGAACAGTGCTGACCATGATCAGATGGCACTGATGTGCTTGCTGATTTTGGTATTTAGTGCATTCAGGTCGAAAGGGTAGAATACTTGTTACTGCCAGCAGGGTAAATGTCTATTAAATTAGAAAAAAAGAGGATGGAATTCAAGAATCTTCAGAATGATGTTACCTATATAAAAATATTTGTGGGAATGGATCATATTTAAGTACGGTTATACCAAACTGTCAGACAATTGGTTCACATACCATTGTCATAAATTCTCCCCTTAAGCCAATCAGATCATCATAAATAAAAAAAAATGCTGAGTTCAGCAGTTTTTTATGACTCTATAAATGTTTGCATATCTATTATATAGACTCATAAAGTTATATTGTAAATTACTGGAAGTGCAGCTAATAAAAACATAAGAACAGTTTGACTTCTTACAAGTGATAACAAATGTTGCAAGACCATAAAATTGTATTTCATTTTCTGATCAAAGGCCCTTGAAATCTGCTGCCTATTGGAAAAGAATGTTTAGATGGGTTGCTGAAAATACATTTACACAATTGAGTGAAAATTACTCTTTCTTTGATGAAGATAATAAACAAAATTGTGGCTTAATTAAACACTATGTTTCAAGTGATTAATGCTGGGAGGGGTAACATATTTCAAGTAATGGTGAATTAAGATGAATGACTATGTTACATGTATACATAACACTGTATATACAAATACAGTACAAACAGTAAGAAAAGGTGATCAAAGTTGAATAGAAATTTTATTGAAAGAACAAATTAAAAACTACAATAAAAATCTTAAAAACATTTTGTATATAGTAAGAAAATGTCGAGCAAAGGTAATAAATTAAAATAATAGCATTACAAAGTGATTGACAATAATGTCTTGTGACAGAACATGTGAATGTTGTACAATATTTTGACAATAAATTAAGTTAGATAAAATAGTCATGTTTGAAATAATATTAAGACTACCTGCTTGCATTGTAGCTCAATACAATGCAATAGGGAGAGGATTGCATTTGTAATCATGGGGTTGCTCAGGTTCAGTCCTGGGCGTAATTATGTCTCAGTGACAATTGATTTAATGGTCATTTTGCAGCTGATTAAGATTAAGCATGTCTTAAGTAACAGGTTGGACCACAACAAAAAACATTGAAAAAACAAACTAATTCATATCTTAATAAAAAAAGGACAGTAATGCTTTTGATGTCAAAGTTGTTATTTTAACTCTTAATTGGAAATTTATTTCAAGGCGTTGGATGACTCTGCAGTTTTACTAAGTACCAAGGGATATAATTAATATAATTATACTAATACTTCTATATCGACACTGCATCAATCTCAATTTGATTTAAGCAGAGGTTGGAAAAAAATCAAATACATGGAGTTCTTTTAACTTTCATAACGACTTAAAATTTAATTTCAACATATAATTGTTCTTTAGACTGTCTACATCAAACAGTTTATGGCTAATACTGCATTAATGCTACTCTGCTCAATTTCATATCACATGCTTTTAGACAGCATTCTGGGAATAATGGGTATGCAAAAACAAAGGGAAGTAACTGTAACCAAATTAATAAGTACAGTTTTATTGACTGGTAGCAGATTTGTCAATTAATATCCATGGCATTCTATGTGAAAGCTAGGGACTTGCATGTTTGTCAAACATACAAAAATGATAGAATAATGGACACAGTCTAAGTGTTCATGTCAGAATGATATATTTTACTATTGGATAACCAGTCCAGTGTCTATTTCATCTATTATGAGACAAAATTGCATGTTTAGTTCTCATAAAGCAGCTCTCTGTGGTACTATATAGATGATTTATTAGATTCCTCAATTAAAGCCAAATGATTTGAACATACTTTTTGTTTTTGCTCGAATTTGTCTTCTACAATGTTTGTTCTGTGTAATGAAGGAGCTTGAATTTGTTGAATCAAGCTTTTTTAAGATCACTGCATCAGAGATAGTCGTGACTTATGCACGCTATTTTATTATCGCACTCAGATTATGTGAAGGATATATAATCAAATTTAGACTCGGAGAGATGAAATCTTGATTAAATTTTATTCTTAAAGGCCCACTCTGATTGCCAATTATTTGCAGTATCATTGTTTATTTTTCTTAAAAGCTACTATTTGCATCAACCATTATTACAATTGTTTCTTAAAGGCCCATGATTGCATCATTATTGTGTTATATTCTTAAAAGCCCATATTTGCAGTATTACTTTTAGCTCAACTATTTGATAAGAATAAGTAGAGCTATTGTAGTCACCCAAGCATCGGTGTCAGCGTCGGAAACGGCGTAACCACTTATGTTAAAGTTTTTAAAATACCTCAAATATTTTCAAAGTCCATTGACATATTGCTTTAAAACTTTGCACAGTTGTTCACCATCATGACCCCAAACTGTAGACAGGAGATGGTAACTGTATCAAGCATTTTGACAGAATTATGCCCCTTTTTGACTTAGAATTTACGTTAAAGTTTTTGCAATACCTCAAATATTTTCAAAGTCCATCGACATTTATGGCTTTGAAACTTTGCACACTTGTTCACCATCATGACCCTGTGCATGCGTCAATTTCTTTAAACAATTTATCCTCCTAAACCACTTGGCCAAATTTGTTGAAACTTTGCATAAAGCTCTACCATGGAAAAGTTGTTTAAATAATTAAATTCCATAAAGAACTCTGGTTGCCATCGCAACAGAAATTATTTTTTACAAAAAAATCTTCTTGTAATAGACCGAAAGAGCTAGAACTTAGATATTTGGCATGAAACATCTTCTAGTGGATGTCTACCAAGTTTGTTCAAATGAAAGCCCTAGGGTCAAAGTTGGCCCCGGCCCAAGAGGTCTTTGATTTCCCTTATATATACATGTATAATTATAGTAAAAACTTAAAAAATCTTCTTGTGACAATCCAAAAGAGCTTAGGAGCTTAGATATTTGACATAAGACATCTCCGAGTGGATGTCTTACCAAGTTTGTTCAATTAAAAGCCCTCAAAGGGTCAAAATTAGTCCTGCCCCAGGGTCATAGAAAACAACAACATGTAAACAACATCCAAACCAGACTTTGACCTTTTGACCTATTTCTCAGACGAGTGATCCAGGGACCTTTGGGCCCTCTTGTATTCTTGAAGGCCTGTATGACTTAATAACTTAATTGAGGTAATATTATGCCTCTTGAATATACATGTTGGATGTAAGATATTATTGATCGCCTAGTTCTTATGATGTATGTCAAAAATTATAAAAAAAACACCTTACAGTGCATGTCAGGTAAAGAAGAAAATATTGTAGCTTTGCAGACTTAAAAAAAATTGTCCATTTAGTACATTTGTCGAAGCATTTTATGTTTTGACACAGGTGCATAAATGCTAAAAGTTATGCTTTCAATATAAGCTAGTATTTCATAATTTTCAATGTAATTTTAATAAATGGATCAAAATAGAAAATCTGGAAAGATGTGGATTTAAGAAAGTACTTTACAATCTGTTATAATGAAAGAAAAAAGATTTCTTTATTTGTGTTTTCAGTTTTGACCGACAAAATTATAAGTAGATCTATGCAAAAAAAAAATTGTTTTTATAATATATATTTCTTAGAAATGTTTCTCCAAGAAAAGTTCACATTTCAGTAATTGTTTTTCTGTAAGTATTGTGAAAATGGAAGAAGATATTTCTTTTAGCAATGATAGTGATAGAATCTATAATATATCATTTTATTATGAAATTTTGATAAAGTTTGTGGAGAAAAATATGTGGAGTCAGCTGTCATTTCAGTGTTTGTGCAGACTTATATTTGATAGATATAAGGTTATAATTATTGTCCTACATTAAATTTAAAGGCACATTTATTATGTCTGAGAAATTCCCATTTTTTAATTGTAAAGAAATGTAAAACATGATTACAGTGTTAAATAATGTTTTAGTTAGTTGGTTTAGAGTATGTAAGGTGTTTTACAACTGAAAAAAGTAGCACTGAAGGTGAAATATATTTGTCATAAAGGTAGAAAATTGTAAACAAAATAGTATTTAGACTTTCATACAAAATACTAATTCAGTATATTAAAATACCAATTGCCAACAGAGCAATTAGAAAGAAAAAGATTATTCATTGTATTATTATTATGTGCCAATGAGTATTTTTTGGAAATTGTAACAAGATATACAAAAAAGTAAAAGAATTTGTTTACATCACAAGTCAAATGGTTACAACTACTTTCAATCTGTATTTGAGCTCCGAGATTATTATGACTGATAGTTAATAAAGGTGTTCCGATTGACAAGATTGTTGTTGCCGCTGTTAAAGCAATAAGTAAACAAGATTGTTTTTGCCAAAAGTGATAGGTAAACTTATTTAAAGAAATGAGGTAACAAGAATGTTGCTGGCTATGATAGTGGTGTTGAAACTAAGTTTAAAGAAATGACAGATTGTTTTTGTTCCTTGTCTCTTTGATCATCAAATTAATAATTGCTAGAGATCGCAAAGAAATAAGTTTTAAATAAACATGTAACAAAATATTCAATGCAGTTTTGTTGTTGTTTATTTTAGGATGAATTGCGACAGGCAAGATTACTCAAAAAGCGCCAGGAGCTGCGTAAAGCTGACCCACATAAAATGGCCGCCCTGAGACAGAAGTTTGTAAATCAAGCAAAGAAATACTTCGGATACCCCTACGCAAGGAAATACTGGCCACCTGATTGTAAGTAAACTTAAAGGCACATTATGTCTCAGAAACGAATAAATATTTCATTCTTTAGAAAGGGCAAACATCTGAATTTTGTAATGTTTGAATAATGGTTTTAGAGTAACGTATATTTATTTAGTTGCTTTTCACCTGATGAAAGTAGCGCAGAATGTAATTTTTTTTTTTTTTATAAAAGTAGCAAAATGTAAACAAAATAGTATTTTTGACTGGATCAAGGCAAAATTGAAAGTGTCACAGGTTCAATTGATTGAGCTGGAGTTAACACATGAACTGACTGGACCCTTTTAAAGCAACATGCCTTGATAGGAAGAAACAATAATATATATCATATTTTTAAAGATCAAAGGAAATAAAACAGACATTTATGTTAGTATGTACTTCCTATTATTCCGATCTTACACCCTATCCTTTCCCTTTTATGTTTTTACACATTAAACTAGATCAATGAAAAAATAAATCTCTGATCAACATGTATTTTAATTGCTCTTACATGCTTGAAACAACCTGCGCTTAACATACATCGCGACTAATTTTCCTTCATTTTTTTCCATTATCCTTTAATCTCAATCTTCAACAGACAATGATTCAATGTGTACTTGAATCAAATCCTTTGTGCGTATTAAACTCAAAGATAAAAAAAAATTCAGGCCGTGGCTTTTGATACTTAAAAGGCACATAGCATGTTACGTAACTTCAAAGTCGCGTAAATTTGCGACTCACAATTACCCAATAGTTGTTACTTATAGAAAAATCAACACAGACAAAAGACCACTTCATACCAATTCAAACAGTCTTTTCATCTCCTAGAGATTGCAAATGATAAAAAAAGAACATTTTGAATTCGCACATCTACGTTATTATAATAAAACAACTCACTTTAAAGGGTATTATCTATTTAATCAACCAATCTACTTGGCCTCAAAGGGAAATACTTGGGGGGTAAAAGTTTAGGCCTTCAAGTCACAATAAAATACTTCAGAAAATTCATCGATTCATAAAATGACTTTCTTCTAGCAATAAAATGATCCATTTGTGTATATATATGCCCTTGTTTATTTGATTATGTCAAATATGGACAAATAATTGAACTTGATAATGTAACATACCTTTCCATGTTTGTACGCATAGTTTTATTCAAATAGTTTTACTCGTCAGTTTTAGACCTTGAAGGTTGTTTAAAAATAGTGGGTTCATACTGTTTATGTTTGACTTGTGTGTCAAATTCCTATGTTTTTAATCTCGATTTTTGAATCTTTTTATCAATTTTTGTGTAAATATTTGATTTTTAACTCTCTGTCCACTTAAGAACACAGCATGACTGTACGATTTTAACATAGATGTGAAAGCAGAGTCTGAAAACACCCACAATGCTGTACTGTAAAATTACATACCTAAACTTGTTATTTGATTTTATTCTTGTGTATTTGAGTAAATGCATTGTATTATGGTAAATTTATTATTTGAAGTGAAGACATGACTGGAATATTGTTGCAATCACAGATTTTCATGTCCGCTAGCTAATAGCTCAATAGGTAGAGCATCAGATAAGTAATGAAGAGGTTGCTCAGGGTCGAATCCTCTGGCTAGATGAAATTTCTCTGTAACAAGTGATCTCTGAGACATGACTTTTATAACTCGCTCAGTGGGCGTTGCTTTGGAACCACTTGCCCCTCACAGCCTTGCGTTCGAATCCTGCCAAGGAATTTAGATTCATACATGTGAGGAAGCTATAAATATCATACTATAGATTACAGATTGTTGGTGATTCTACTAAAGTGTTCGTTTGTGCCTGAAATGATACAGGGAGGGACACCTAAGGTCTTCCTACATCAGTAAAACTGGAGCAAATTGACAACAAATACTAGAAATTACATTCAGTAATAGATATGATTTTTTTTCAGCACCAGAATACAAATCCAAGCTGTTTCTCGACTGTTGCGGGTTGGTGAGGCGTGTAATGCGAGATCTAGCAGACGATTTTGGTTTTATCCTTGGTCCATGGAATCAGGCGTACATGTTTGACACCCTGCCTATAGTTGTAAAGAGTGAAAAAGACATGAAACCTGGCGATCTTGTCTTCATCTCGGCTACCTATTACAATCCTAAATGTAAGGCACAATAAAATTTATTCTAAGGCATTTCAACACTAAATCTTAGACACTATAAGCCAATATGTAAGGCAGTGCAATCAAAAATGTAGAGGACAACAAAGTGTAATCTATATACAACACTAAATCTTTGGCACTATAACCCTGAATGTAAGGCACAACTATCAGAAATGTAAGACACTTCAATCAAACTGTTTGGGTAGGTTTAACTACTTTAAAAGATAAAGGGATTAACTGGTTGATTTTACAATTGAAAATTTGCTAATCAATTGTTCATGTGCTATAAGTTTTCTAAATTTCTTATATTTCACAAAGAATTAAAGTTTTCGTTTGTCTTTGGCTGATTGGTTCAGGTCTTTGACTTTAAACCACTTGTCCCTCCAGCTGTGGGTTTGAGTCTGGCCTGAGGGACTTTGGATTCTTTATTGTCAGGAAGATATCAAGCTAGTTTATCTAACTGAATATCGGTGGACCTACTCAGGTGCCAGTTTATGCCTGAATTGATGCCTGGAGGGAAGGGCATCTAAGGTTTTCGTCTACCAGTAAAGCTGTAGCTCACCAAATGATCTCTACTGTATTGGGGCAGCTTAAAACCTAACCAAAAATGAACAAACAAACAAAAAAAGAAAGAATAAATGTTTTGAGTAAACAATGTATCCAACATGTTTTTGAAAAATTATCAAGTAACTGTTATAACATTTACCAATTATCATTTATAGCAAAGAAACAAAGGCACAACATGACACATGTTGAGATATGGGCCGGAGACGGTTGTAAGACTATTGGTGCTCGTTGGAACAATGGCAAGGTTCAAGTTTGGGATAGCTACAAGTTCACGGCTAAGAGTTACCACAGTGAAACTTACCACTTCAGATCTATAGATACTTGGCTAAAAGGACTGTGTACAAGGTTTGTATACAATCATATTTGATGATAGATAGTATCATGAATTATATCTGTTTTATATCATGGTCTTTGTTTCATGATATATCTGTTTTATATCATGGTCTCTATTTCCTTTGTTCATGGTATAACTGTTATAACATGGTCTCTATTTCCTTTGTTTCATGGTATATCAGTTTTATATCATGGTCTCTATTTCCTTTGTTCATGGTATAACTGTTATATCATGGTCTCTATTTCCTTTGTTTCATGGTATATCTGTTTTATATCATGGTCTTTGTTTCATGATATATCTGTTTTATATCATGGTCTCTATTTCCTTTGTTCATGGTATAACTGTTATATCATGGTCTCTATTTCCTTTGTTTCATGGTATATCTGTTTTATATCATGGTCTCTATTTCCTTTGTTCATGGTATAACTGTTACATCATGGTCTCTATTTCCTTTGTTTCATGATATATCTGTTTTATATCATGGTCTCTATTTCCTTTGTTCATGGTATATCTGTTTTATATCATGGTCTCTATTTCCTTTGTTCATGATATAACTGTTATAGCATGGTCTCTATGTCCTTTGTTCATGGTATAACTGTTATATCATGGTCTCTATTTCCTATGTTTCATGGTATATTTGTTTTATATCATGGTCTCTATTTCCCTTGTTCATGGTATATCTGTTTTATATCATGGTCTCTATTTCCTTTGTTCATGGTATATCTGTTTTATATCATGGTCTCTATTTCCTTTGTTCATGGTATAACTATTATATCATGGTCTCTATTTCCTCTGTTTCATGGTATATCTGTTTTATATCATGGTCTTTGTTTCATGGTATATCTGTTTTATATCATGGTTTCTATTTTCCTTGTTCATGGTATAACTGTTATATCATAGTTTCTATCTCCTTTGTTTCATGGTATATCTGTTTTATATCATGGTCTCTATTTCCTTTGTTCATGGTATAACTGTTATATCATGGTCTCTATTTCCTTTGTTTCATGGTATATCTGTTTTATATCATGGTCTCTATTTCCCTTGTTCATGGTATAACTGTTATATCATAGTTTCTATCTCCTTTGTTTCATGGTCTATCAGATTCTGGTCTTTATCTGTTTTATATAATGGTCTTTTTCTGTTTAGTATATCATGGTCTCCATCTCCTTTGTTTCATGGTTTATGTGTTATATATCATGGTCACATGATTGCTGTTTGAATGCTAGCATTCTGGATAGAAAGAATGACACAATGTTTGTTAATTTATATTATGATCACACATTAGAATTTACTTAATGGTCCCCTTATTAAAGTCTATACTATAAAACTCTACTCTAGTTACTGTATGCTTAAAGTTGTATGTATTCCTCTTATGTTTGAAATACTTTAATTTATATACTGAATTTATTACTTCAGATTAACAAAATTTGAAAATTTGTACTTTTATTGAATTGAAAAAAATCAAAAATCAAGTTTTTACATGATAAAAACACCTGGTATATAGGCGTACCAGTAAATTTGAAAATGTTTCGAATTGATGATGCAAGTTAAATATAGAATTATGGGAGTGTGATTTTACGTGTCCTTGTGAGATATGCTGTACCTTTTCAATCTGTGTAGCGATTTGAAACCTATATAAAAAGGTTTTTCCTTTAAAGAATGTATAAAAATTAGGCTATTTGTAAAAGGGCATGTGAAGTTTTCTTTTTTTTAAAAAGACATCAGCCAACTTCATCATATCTAGAATATCAAATCCATTTGAAAGCCATTGATGTATAAATCCAATTACCATAAAAAAGAAATCTTGATTTTCACCACTGAAATTTTATGGCCCAAAACATATTTTGCATTAAAATTCATATGATTTTGGCTTTTAGAAGCTAGCTAATTTCACACACATTTGCACAGAGGTGTTTTAGATTAAAGCAAATGATATATGAAATGTAATATTTATAGGGATGTTAGTCTTCAGGGTACAAAAAAGTTTAAAAAAAGGGGGGGGGGGGAAAGCAATATAAATATGTGGAAAGGGAGAAAATATTTGAAGCGTAGGCCACTTAATGGAAATACATACATGCATAAGTGGTTACTTTTGAAATTACTTTTTTTACCATCTCAGCAATAATATCCTATAATTTTGGTTATTGACACGTATGCACATATATAAAAATCTATGACCACTTATATTTCTTTTTAACAGAAGTACTATTAATTTTCTTCCCATGCAATACTGCATGAATGTTAGTATTTTCTATAATGCTTATTTTTTACTAAAAAAGATGAAAGCATTTTTTTGTAATTGAAAAATTAGCAATTTTATTCATATAAATTTTATTAAAAGTAGCTATATTTCATCAGTAAACATAATTTTTTATGACTATGCACAGATAATAGCTTTCCTTACTTAACCCTTTCCCTCATGAGCATATTGTGAAAAATGGCCGTTTTCACTGAAAAGCCTCCTGTTACAAGTTCAAACTGCTATGAAACTATGAAAAATGCTTCAATACTAATCAAACTTGGCATAAATGTTGACTGGACCATTGCCTTTGTAATGACATGTTCTGTCTTAAATTTCCTGTTACCATGGCAACGAGGGGACATCTCAAAATTGCCAAAAATCACTATTTTGCCTCGATTTTTTCCATCAAAATTTATTTCAAAGTGCTGCAACTTCTCAAGGGATTGAGATAGAGTCAAAGGCTTTTCAGTGTTGGTTACACGTTACCTTATGATCGACCTGGGGTCATTTTTAGCCTCTCACAAGTCCAAAATTTTCTTGGGGATGAGGGGGACTCCACCACACTTCAAACCCCCCAAACAGAAGGGGGCACATCCCCCTTCTGGCAACCCCCTGATGTATCTTTAGGATGGGGGGCGGCGCTGAAAAAGTGCACATTTATTTTAGCAACATTTCTCAAACGAAAACATGTGTTGGAGGCCCAAATAGGACATTATTTTTTCACTATTTCAGGCCTAAAAAGGGGGGGCGGGGGTCGAAAGTGCGTTGTTTCGCGTATATATGAGGTAAAGGGTTAAATATAAGTTTTTGTAATGAAATAAAAAAAGTAAAAGTTGTGTTTTTATGCTTCTTGGAATGGATTTTCTTAACTGACTGCATTTAGTCATCAAATTTAGTAAAAATTTAAGGAAAAAGTTAATTGTAAAATTAATATAAATATTTCAATGTATTGACTTTGTTTTAAAAACAGAATTAATTATGATGATTTATCAATTGCTGAGAATGCTCAGGTCTGTTTTTCAACCTTATTCAGTGAGCCCCGAATCAATCAATCAATCAATCAATCAATTTATCAATCAATCAATCATTCAATCAATCAATCAAAGATTTCATTGAAGAATTAGTATGTAGAATGTGTAAAATGTTCAGCACTCTCTAACTTTACTTAATATATTCACTGAAGGGAGATAACTCAATTTTTATGCTCAAATCAGAGAAATGAGGAAAAAAAAGAAAAAACTCTTTAAAATTTAATGAAAAAATTGTTTTTTTATTGAACACTTCTTTTTTGGAATTTATTTCTTATTTAAGTACATAAGCCCCTACAGATTAATATTTAGCTCTGGTAGATATAAAGATTTTAAGAAATTTTGCCATGAAAATGTTTCCATGGCAATTAACAAAACAACATGTATGATATTTTAATATTATATATTTTTTGTAAAGCAGGAATTTTAAATTGTAATAGCACTAAGTTGTTATTAATAAAAATTAATGCATAGCCTAAATTTAAATATCATCTGGTGTACATAACATAGGTATAACAATTGTTGTGCACATCATGTTATTTTATGTTAAGTTGGCAGCTGAAAATTTAATTATAATGTTAAACATGTTTATATTATGATATTGATTTGGGGGATACGAGGCTGAAATTAAGATATTAAAAGTTTAATCGCATTTTTGTGGTGGCAATAATATTAAATGATTCTGTAATTCATTTTAACATTTAACATTTAAAAGTTAATTTAGTTAGTCTTTAAGATATAGAATTAAATACAATGTATATGCCTTAGAGGTAACTATCTTTCGCACATATGTTACCAGTATATGTTTTTGATTTACCTTGTAAATTATTAAGATAGAATTAATTTATAAATCATTAGATTGTGAAAAAAATTTATACAGAAGAATTCTTTTAAATTTCCTAACAATGAGATTAAAAGAAAAATAGAGTTAATACTGAAAAAAATTGCCTAAAATGAAATTAAAAAGTGAAAAAGAAAAACAAATACAGAAATATATAGGAAAATGTGTTAATTAAATTTAGAGGGCAGAGCATCATGGTTTGCAGACAGACAGACAGACAAAAGTTTGATTTTCATGAAATATTTTGTTTAATCTGGAGGTTATTTCAGCTTTAAGATTGTCTTCCATCTTACATTTAAGACTGACAGTAACTTTAAAATGGAATATCCAACTATCATGTCAACACAATTTTAGCATTTCAAAAATTATATCTCAAAAAGAGACAGTTCCAAATGGAAAGATATTTAAGTCCATTATTTGAATTAAGCATGGGAAAAGTTAAATGATGTAACAATTTTAATGGTTTTGCCATTCAAGGTGTGTTTGTATATTTGAAAACATTTTCTCAAGTAACACGCCTTTTAATGACTCTAAAAATTAGCAAGTGTGTTGTTAATTTTGGCAATGAATATTATATAAGGAAATGAAATCAGTAAAAAATGTGCAAATAAGTTTTGACAGCAATTACTGTAATCTATGATTGGATAATTTTCCGTCCATTAAAACATTTTTTCTATTCGAAAATGTTGCAAAAAATAATTTAAATGCATATTTCATGAAGAAACTGACAGATTTTCTATCATGATTATTTGACTTTTGAAAATGAATTGAGCGATAATATTGAATCATATAGATCTGTACAAAAAAAGGGAAGAAAATGTAATTGAATAAATTAAATGAAGTGGAAAAGTAATCCATTAGAAGTGAATAATAAAATCATTTCTTTGCAGGACCATGAATATCAATTATATTGAGTTTTAATTCATTTAATTTTGAAGTTTGAAAGGCGAAATATAAAATTAATGGAGAGGTATATAAAATTTAAAATAATTTTGAATTAGCTATAAGCTACAATGCTATAAATTGTTTACTCATTGAGTTTCTGGTAAAGGCATGAAAAGGCACACGCCTTGAAGGCACTTTAACCTGATGACTGTTATAAATATTTACATTAACCCTTTCCCCGCCTGCTTTTATATGAGTATGATTCCATCCGTCTTGTTGGCCATTATGAAGTAGACTGACAAGACAGTGGAAAGTGTATGCATCCATGTCCTATGGACACATATTTAGTTCCCATAATTTTGGTTTGCAGTTGAAATACTTTTATCTTAAAAGTTTGTTCATTATTTTCCTATAAAAGTTAAGATTTTATTTTTTGAATTTTAGATTATAATAAAAAACATCCAGTTTCTGTGGTACATTCATATAATTCTTAGATCAATATACCTTGAATTTAGTAGGAGACAAGGGTTAAGTGTTCCATAACATATCTCAATTAAATTTTGCTGCCTGACCATAATATCTTAAACTGCTGCAGATTTGCTGTTTTGGATGAACTTTTACCCTTAACATACTAAATAAATTGAGCTTACATTTCTTTTATTCTGGAAAAAAAATCATAATATTTTTGGAAAATGATTCAGAATAAGTATAATTATACTGACTGAGTATAGGACTTTGCAGACCATGATCAGATATTCAGATTTCACTTATGTGACAGCTGTGACTTGGCTAATGCATTTAGGTCACATGGATAGATTCTGTAGCCATTGTACAGGCTAAAGACCCATTAAGGTTCCAATATTAGCTATTTTACATTATTCAAATGTGAATTAAAGTAGAATTTAATGATGTAAAATGCTATAGAACTGGAATTATAAAGCCTTTACCCCATTTTAACCTTAGATAATAAAGAGAATTCTTTATTTCGTAACTGTTGTAAGCAAACCTAATTTATATAGAAAAATACAGTATTTCTGCTTTAACCGGATAAACATGATGATACTTGCGATAAGATGGCTTTAACTTGTGATGCTACCTTGTGACGAGATGATTTGAAACCTTATTACCCACCTCCTCTCGTTACACCCTTCACCTTTAATTATAAAGGTACAAACACGATATTAATATGGCATATCTTTTCATACAATGTATTTTTATTTCATCTAAATGACTGTAATTCCAAATACAAATTTAGCTTTCTTAAAGTCCTGTGGTACTGACATTTTGTTTCAAAAATTAATTTGTTTAATTTATTTGAATTTGTGTTTATAATGATTTTTTTAATTGATTCATTACTGTAAGAACAAAGAAAACGAAAAAACCTGAGGTATTTTAATTTGACAGTCATCTTACTTGTTTATTGATTCTTCCTGAACCGGCCGATTTGTGCCCTTTACATGCTAAATAATGATCTTATAAATAAATAAACTGACTGGATAGCAAGCAATGCAGAACATTGGATGTGCTGGCTGATCATGGCCTGCAATGGTCGCATGGGTAAATTCAGATTCCACCTGGTAGCTTAAAAGGTTAATTAACTAGAATACAGAATTTGAGGACTAAAGTCTAATAAATGAATAAATAAATAATAAATGATACATCTGCTAATTGGAAAGATGTCAAAGTCAAAGAATACCTGCTTTGTGGAGGGCTGGTGGGGTATATATGTTTGTACCTGAACAATGTACCAAGGGAATGTTTTAACCTCTTTTTTTCATCATTTTGCCCTTAAAGCTGCATACATCCAGACGAGCCCAGTGAAAAAAAAAAGTCAAGAAAATCAACCTTGAGTAAAGTGTACTAAGATTTTACGAAAAGTAAAAATAAACAACTAACATGTTATAATGCAATTAATGACTGATTTTGCAGTGTTATCACTATTTGTCTATTTTTGCAAATTTTGGTCTATTTTTGGTAATTTGCTTAGATTTTAAGTGCTGTTTTTAATGTATAATTTTACTTTCTTTGTTCAATATTTTACTGTTTTAAAACATTTTTAAAAGATCCTGAAAATTAGCATGAATCTGGAGGCATGCTGCTTTATAATATATAATGTATTAGCACTGCTTTGAATTTGGAACAGTCCAATTAAATTTTAAGGATTTAAAGGATTTTAACATAAAAATACAAAATTCAGCTACCAACTGTATAGAGCCTGACAATTTAACTGCACAAATTGAACTGGTACTTTCAGTTCAAGCAGGGTAGGTCTCAGTTAAGATAGAGTAGTGCTATACCTAGTACATTGTAAAGCCATAACTTTTACTGAGTCTCCTTGTGACCTTAATACACCCAGAAAAAGAATTATTAAATAAAACCTTGTATTTTCATATTTGGAACACACAGTTCCACTTGTATAGCCATAACTGAGTGTCAGTGTGACCTTATCACACCAAGAAATGTAACATTTGGAGCAGACACCCAATAAGAAATTTATTAAGACTCGGAGGGAGGAGTCACAATCATGTTCTTTGGGGGATCAGCACGGTGCAAATATGAAAATGTTCTCCTGATGGTTTTTTGCTAGAGATGCACAATTTACTCTTTTGCCTTTTTTTAATGAGGATGTCACAAATTTTATGTTGCATATTTTTTGTAGCAGTTGTGCCCCATAAACATGATACTAATAAATTGCTACAGAAAATGATGTACATGAAAAAAACATGAGCAATCTAAACCATATAATCACTGAAGCATGAATTTTTGGCTGATTTTGCGATCGTATTTTATAAGGCTTGACTACGTAAATGTCTTTCCGCGTAATAACTCCAGCAATAACCAAACCCTGCCATATTTTAATGTTTATTTTTCTAATTTTAGTATCAATTATTTTTATTATAACACACAGCAGCTCCTGAGTTCTAAAGCATATTTTTTCTGTTACTGTTACTTAAAATGACACAGAAAAGTGTTGAAGAAAGGCTTGTCTTAGTGTCATAAAACTGAAGAGGACAAAGTGAAATCAGGTTTGACTATTCAGCTATGGGAATATAAACATGCCTGTTTCAATGAAATAAGTGAAAAAGTAACCAGGTATGGCAAGCAAAGTAAATGATCAATTTATGAAACAAAAAAGGGATGAGCTCATTAGTTTGACATCAAGTCTTGACAGAATTGAGTAATTTTTGCATAATTTATTGTGTTTTACAATAGTTTGTTTTTATTTGCCAATTTGCCAATTTGGTGATGGTTTTTTGTTGCTTTGAGAATATAGTCATAAAAAAGGTTAATTTTTTTGCTTGGAGGCCATTGACATGATTGACAGGGCCTTTGACATGATTGTGGTCCACAGCGAAACAGAAGGAAAAAAGAAGAATAAAAACATAGGAACAACATTTGATGAAAAACATCATGCAAATGGATACAATAAAATCATACTCTTTCTAACACACAAACAATAAATTATTATTCACATTGCATTCTTGTAATGATGTTTTTGAAAATATCTAGTTTCATGGGGATAAGAAAACCAAATTTGTTGGGTAGAAAAAAGTCATGGAAATCAAAACTTCAATATTTCTTTAACTAAAATAGTGTTCCTCGTAAGATGTTTATATGGAGCCTTCTTGTTTCATTTTAAATCTTTTCATTAGGAACAGTCCACAATGTAAGTTATTTAATTACCAGATTATGAAAATTGCCAAAACAAGCCAAGCTGATCTAGGTAACACTATTACATTTCTCTTTATAAAATGTATAACAAACTGAAAATATCTGTCATGTGTTGTGGTTTGGTTCAAATCAGACAATCCGTGCCAAGGGTTATAATCTCCCCATGTATGAATGTACAACTTCATTAGTTATTGCAAAGTGATGTCATCCTTATTACAAAGTTAATTATTCATGAAATTTTCAGCATGTATAAAAGTAAAAGAAAACACCAGTCTAATATGACAGAAAACCTATTTCCAAACACATATTAACCAAATTCATGTATCTGTTCATTAAAAGATTCAAGACTATTGCTTTTAGCATTTTGAAGAGTTGAAAAGCCATGACCTTACATCTTTCTTTGTTCCAAGCTTCTCTTCTCTGTGTCTCTTCAACTAAAGCAAATGTCTTTGTTATAATTACTTACCCACAATTATGTTTACAAGATTATTGTTACTTTCTGCAGAGACTGCCTTTTTATGACCCTGATTTCCTTTAACTTGAGGAATAGCCTTTTTGTGATTTTAATCTGCTGTAATATTTGCTTATTTGCTTACAATAAATTTGTTAAGTTCTTTTTTACACTGACCAATCTCAAAAACATTTCTGGTAATTCGGGTAGATATAAATAATTATGCAAGTTAACATTCATTTTATCCTATTCTATTATTCTATATTTTCAGTCACTGTCACCAGCATACTTGGAGACGTAGCAAGTATAGTCCAACCAAGAAGTCCATCTTTGCTCTTCCTGAACAAGTAGAAGAAGAAGATGAAGCTGCAGGTGATGATGATGATATGGTTGACAGCTTCAATATGCGTGGTAATACATTCATCAACCAAGTTTCCAGTGTCAGTAAGATGCTATCCCAATGTGAGATCTCTGAAATGAAAAGGCCAAAAACTGAATTAGATTCGCCATACAGTAGAATAAATACACCAGGTGCTTCTCTTAATGATACTGATGCTGAATTTCCAATTATAAGGAATAATATGAAAGGAAAAGGGAAAGGATTCCCTGTACGAAGAGAGAAAACAAACTTAGGCCTTGCCACCAAAAGGCAAAGAAATTATGAAGAAGTTACACCAAGGAATGGAGATGATAAACTTATTGAGAGTAACAAAGATCAGGTGCAGTTGACATTAACAAGTAGTTTAAATGATTTAGGAAGGAAAGGTTTTTATCTGAAAGACTTGGTTGATTCGCATAAAGAAGAAAGTGATGATGTTAATGATATGGAAGGAGAATTTGAAGAAGAGGATAATGAACAAGAGCCTGAAGAGTTTGACTATGATGATGATTATTTCATATTTGCTAATGATGATGATTCTGATGATGATGAAGAAATTGCAGGAAAGTCAAGTGATACACAGGAGCAATCTAGTAAGAGCACTGAGGATTCCAAAGGTGAATCTGTAGACTCTACAATAGAAAAGGGCAAAGAGGATGGTGCTATTGAAGGTGATAATAAGAAAAACAGTGCAGCTGAGAATGATAATGATCAAGATGAAAACATTATTGCTTCCTCAAATGGAGCGAACATAGTTAAAGATCAGAACAAGAAACTGGTGAATGTTATAGAAACTGTTTTGCCATTTGGCCCAGAGGAACGATCCAAGTCAGTTAACAAACTTGTGCATTTTGACAATGCAAATCTTAATTCAAACCCAAAAGTGGCTGAAAAACATCAACCTAAGGAGAAACCTCGAGGTCAATTTTTAAAAGCCAGTATTATAACAGTTGTTTCCAAGCCTGAAGTTTCTTCCCCTGCTGTACTGTCAGGTAACCAGTCATCTTGTGTGTCTGAAAGTCAGGCTAATACTGGAAATGGCTGCCGTCTTAGTATGAAAGCTAGTACTCATGCAACCTCTTCATCAGGGAGTTCCTCTAAATCTCCGTTAGACAGTCAGAAAGCAGTCCCTCAAATGCATATATCAGAGAAGCAGGCTAGTTCAGATAGTTCAACTGGTAGCCAGTCTAGCTCAAAATCTGGTTCAAGTTCATATACTGACAGCCAGGCTAGTTCCTCTGTTAGTACACAAGAACTTGTTTCAAGTAATGAGACAAGCACTTCAGACAATTGTCAGTCTGATTCTACATCGTCCAGCTTCCAGTCAGGAAGTAAAACTGACGAAGATATAGAAAACCAGGCACAGTCTAATTTAATTGGAGCCAAAGAACAAAGTTCAAACCAGTCTGTGACAGGTGCTTGTTGAAAAGTTTATGTTCAAGTTATTAGTTTTTAAAACGTTTATAAATATGTTCAATTTGTTTTGAAACACAGTATATTATACAACTGAACTAAAATGTTTCACATTCATAGATTTTACTTGTGATTATAAGTATGATGCTTTAAGATAGCATGTGTTTCAAGATAAATTGTACAAACTTGAGCATTTTCATCTATAACTATAGTTTACTTACTGACATTAGATAATGTAATGTAAAGACAGTTCAACAAAATATTATTATACAAAATGATTATGCACATATTAATATTTTAATGTACAAACCCAAAAAATATTACACTGCTACAATCGAGTTCACTTAAAGGGACTTCACTGAGATTTTTTGACATAACTGGACTAGAAATATATTTTTGATATTTGCATACCATGTGATGTAGATTTGGACAAAAATAATGCTTGTGCATAATTTCAGAGCATCAGCTCGCTCTTATTTCCAGAATGATATCATTAAAAATTTTATTGTGTGAAATAACCCAAAAATGAAAAGCATTTTGATGCTAAGATTTGCAAAAAAAATATAATGTAAGATTTAATTCTTAGTGACTATTTCTTGCTATCTTTTGCATAATTTTCTGTTTTAAGTGTCCCAAAAGATCTTAGTAAGAATTACCATTTTTATTTTGTATGTAGTGTTTTAGACCTCAGTGAAGTCCCTTTAAAAGAGCTTGTTATGTCAGTGTTGATGGTAGAAAATATAAACAGTACTGTGCAGGTTTGGTTTGCCATAATATATCCACTTGTTTTTGGTGGTGATATTTTCAGAACCATTCAAGGGAGACCAATCTTAAAGCCAACCATTTTCATTTGAAGATAAATTTTAGAGTTCAACATGCTTTAGTCAGACCTTATTCATTTAATTCATTGACTTAATTCTAACAAAGTGCGCTCAAATTATTAATCTGTAATATTTAACTATAATGGTTCTAAATGAAAATGCACCTTGTTTACTGACGTTACAGTTACTGTTATGTTTAGTTGTTTATTATCGACAGATTTTTCTACACTGACTGACCTTTTTAGAATGACATATTTAGTGATCAATTTTGTTTTGATGGAATATAGATTATTTTATTGAAATTTTTGCTTGAATCAAAGTAGATTTGTTATGGAGTGGGTGATGCATTGTTAAGAATGTAATTCAGTACACAGAAAATTTCAAAAGACCGTCTGAAACTGTCGTCTGGCAGAAACTTTTCTATTTTTATACCACTTTATTATTATTAAATTATGGAAGGTAAGATCCTGTCCTTTATTATTAGATTATAAAATATGAACTCTTGTCCTTTAGGCTGATTTCATTTTTGTATGTAACAAAATATGGAGAAAATTGTAAAAATTAGCAACATACCTCTGACATAACAATTTTCATTCTGAATTTGTGTAATGGATTGGTCCAGGTTTGAATTTGGAACTGTTCATTTTGAATGTAGGGGTATGTCAAAATTAAAATAATAAAATTGAACGACAAAGAATTTTTTATTGACATTGAAAGTACAATCTTTTGCAAAAAACTTTAAATTATGAACATTTAAAGGTGAATGTAAGTAAAAATTACAGCGCAAACTAAATAATGATGTATTTTTAAGATAAAAAGTTCTATTTGTTCAAGCCTTATTCAATGATTGACTGGAGAACTGTTGTTGTCCTTCTTTACTTCATATGATTAAATGCAGTTTTGCAGTCAACCCTCAATTTGATAAGAATAATTCTTTGAACACTTTATTGGAATAATTGGAATAATAGTGTTCCTAATAATGGCATAAGTCAGTATAAAGCATGGCCATTATGCACTACTTAATGCAGTTTGACTTAACTATATATAACTTATGATTGTTTGAAATTAGTATTTCTACATTGCCATCCCTTTAAACAACGAATTCTAATTTCAAAGGCAGGGTTCATCTTTAATTCTAACTTGGTTTCCATTATTTCCATTTTAATAAATATAGACTACAGGCTCTCGAGTGCATAAAATTTAATATACTGGTACATATAATTTATGGACAGTGTTGCACAAAAGAAGATGATATGTCAATTATGACATCAGATATGACATCATTACACCAAAATGACCTCAGATAATTTATATGTAACTTTTATGCTCGATTTAGGTCAACAAAATGTTTCATTGATTCTGGACTAAAAAAGAATGGAAATAGATATTTATTTTTCTAGTATTATCATATGCCATGGTTTAATTTGTTCAGATGGTTTGTAATAGATCACTTGGGTCTCATAATGGTCTTTATGTGATGGTATAACTTCACAGGAGAAATTGAACCATGCAATATTATATGATATTGCACTCAAAATTGATATCCATTTCCTAAATAAAATATTGAGTTTGTCAGGAATTTGGAACACATTCTAACAATGAACTTTATAAAGGACTTTTACAATATGCTTTTGTTTATGATCCAGAGGAAAAATAATTGCTTGGTCGACCTCGTTTACTAAACTTTTGATCTTAATTGACTTTCAATTTGCATGATTTATTGACGAAACTAGTACATGATTTATTGATGAACATTGCATGATAATGTGTAATTAATATTAAAAGAAGTTCATTGATGTCTTTGACATAGAATATGAAAGAAAATGCAGTTCTTTGACTATTAAATTGTGATTTAGCATTGCAATTTCATAGACCAAAGACCTTTTAATCATTTTAGACTTAATCATTGTCTCAACTTAATTTGAATATTTTTGAGGGCTGTTTTAGTTATAGTAAACTCTGCTTATACTGATATTCAGGGGACTGACAAAATTTATACTGTTATATCCGGGTATTGTTATATCCAAGAGGCAAGCAATTTGAAACCGAGAGTTGGGACTGTGGCAACAGCATCTTTTTGAGTGGTATAAGCTAATAATTATAATACCATTTTAAGTGGAGTTTATTGTATATAATATATGTTTGGTGTTAGGTATATGTAATATTATGGGGAATTTTTATCATAATTTCATAGATACCGTATGTTTGTTGGTTATATTTTGGTGCATGGACGTTTTCTCATGATATATTACCAATATAGTGCCATTACAAATATATTAGGTTTAATAGGGAAAGTATAATTATATTCATTGGGCAAGGTCATTTATAGTTTTGCGTATTAATGTTTAACTAGGATCTAATATTGGGATAAATCTTTTTTTATTATATTAAATATAATTATATTTTAGCTCTCTTGACCACTGTGTGCTCAGGTAAGCTATTGTGATGTACTGATTGTCATTATCCACAATTTGTTTTTTAACAACATCTCGTTCCAAACCACTGAGTAGATTTTCGCCAAACTTACAATTTATAAAAGTTGGTGGGTGGTCCCCTATAAAGGCTATTAACACAATTCTGGTTTATTACATATGTTTTATGTTCCAGGAGCCAATCTTCTTGTTTAACTGCATGACCAAGACTGTAAATATCTGGCATATGTGTAGTATTTCCTAGTGGTTCCCTTATATAATGAAGGTTGCGTAAGGAGATCCCCTTTGTTCAAAATTTACTCTGCTGTCCCTTTTTTTTGCATAGATTATAGTTAAAAAGTCTTTGCCTCTTAAACTAAAAGGCCCAGGGCTTCGGTATGGGGTATGTAGCATTTCCGAGTGGGTCGATCACTTAATATATATATATGTAGTTACAATGTTTTGATCTTGCCTTTTATAGAAGTCCAAGCCATGGCCTTTGGTCATTTTATATAAGAAGATACTTTTTGAAATATTTTCTTTGAAACATCAAGGGGCAAAGGCGATTAAGGATTTTTATTTTGATATTATTATGTAGAATTGTTAAGTTATGCTTCTTAGCTACCATACCACATTAGTAATATGGATTGACCAGGTCCTCCCATCTTGGGAACTTATTACCAGCTTTTCCCTTGATATATTTGGATGAGCAAATATCAGGTCCACTTTGGACTGTACTTGTAGTTTAATTTTAAACTAAACCAGGTGTAAATAGATCTAGATTAATATAGAAATTTTTAGATTGCTATTTTTTATATTTTATAAATTTTTATATCATTGCTTAATATTTTTTATAGCTTTTTGTAATTTTGTGTTCATTTTTAGCCTATTTGTCACAGTAGTTTGAAAAGTGACATGCAGATTTTAAACAGTGACTGTCACGGACATACAGTTACGGTGTTTTAGGATTCTCGTTTTATCCTATTTTAATTTAAGTAATTTCGGACACAATAAAATAGTGTCACATTAAATATAACTGATATTACATTTTAAGTATGTCACACTTAAGTATAATTTTTTTTGTACAATATGCTCTTTGTATTAGCTAAAATTATAAAATGGGATACTTATTTTATTATAGATAGCTTTTTAAAATTTTACATTATTCAAACATTTTTATTATTGAAAAATCTGTTTTTATTTTTTTTAAACTAAATGACTGATTTAGATTTGTACCAGTGATACGCAGTGAAAAATTTGTTGATATGCACTTTGTTGATTTGCTACTAAATAATAACATGAAGAACGTGCAGTGTTCCATAATTCTCAAATGTTCTCCACAAACTACTGCCAACTTCTGTACTTGGATTAGTTTTGGAGGAAAAGTTAACATCGAATTGTAAAATATTCTGAGAACTCTACTGTTACATGATTTTAAATAGTCAAAATAAGATAAATAGCCTAAATTTACATAAAAATAACATAAAATGATAAATAACATATTTAATAAGATAAGTAACATAAAATAACATAACTTTTGTTAATGACAAGTTTTAAAATTTTGTATTACATGTATTATATTATCACAGGAGCAAAATACAGAAGGTGGAGGGTTCTAATTTGCGTAATGTTTTAAAAAATTAATATCTATATACATTATACATTATTATGCGATGTACTCTTTTTGAACTGTGAACAGTTATTATACATTTTCTGTGATTATGAATTATATTTATATTATAATTATGTGATATTAACAATTCCATCCAT